AGGAGAGCAGAGAGAAGTTGAACCAGGCCAAGAGTGAAGCCAAACAGATGATCCAAAGAACAGCGCCATCTCAGGGGGAAGGGCCACCTCAATATGGCCCTTATCCAGAACCCCCTCCCTTCCCATGTGCGCCAGCCTGCCAGCAGCCACAACAGGCCGCGTACACTCCTCCACAGGCTTACTATCTCCAACCTTATACCCCGCAACCACAACACATGATGGGGGCCCCACTGTACGGTGGCTTCAGGCAACCGAAAAGACAGGGGGGTGCACTATCGGCCACCTCATTGATGACTTACCAGAACCGAATGGCTTTGGATATGTTATTAGTTGAAAAAGGAGGAGTGTGTGCGATGTTTGGCCAAGCTCGCTGCACTTTTATCCCCAATAACACCGCCCCAGATGGATCCTTTACTTGAGCATTACACGGACTAAGAGCCATATCTACAAGCAGTGCTTGCAGCCACTTGCTGGAGGCGAGCATACGACTCTGGGACCCAGGTGGAAGTTGGTCCGTCTGTCTCGTCTCAGGTCTGAGACTCAAAGCTCTGGTCAAAATGTCATACAATTTTCACTACTGCCACCTGCCACGTTTCACCCAGCTGAACTCAACTCTTTGTTAGTTTTGACACTGCCACTGATTAACACATTAAAAAAAAATTACATTCTTTTTTTCTGTACAGATTAATCAAATGAGGTACAACTCTATGAGATTAGGAAACATTCATCATACTTAGCCTTTTTTCCTAAAATGTTTCTTCTTCAAAGATTTCTTTGAACTATGACACAATTTGTAGTCAATTTATTTAACGACTGGTTCAAACGGTGTTCGAACGACCAAACAATATCTCTCACACCTCAATCTTCTATTATAAGCAAAGACCAAAGCATTGAGGTAATCTTAGCAATTTTTATCTTATCTTGACAGTTTAACTGAGAAAAATCTCCAGCAGCAGATTATTGACTATTAGATATATTGACTTTGGCTAATTATTGAGATTTCTCCAGGTAACTTCACAGGATGAAATTGAACTTGCTACATTTTTTGGCAAGGAGGGGTTTGGGGTTTGTTCGGCTCATAACCATCCCCGCTGACGGCGTCACTCCCCAATTTCTCCTGAATTTAACAATATTAGCTTTAATTTTGCACTGCACTGGATCAGATTTCTCCATTTTGAGATCCCTAGAGAGGCAATAGAAATGATCCCAATCTCTTTTCCGACACTCATTTCAAAGTCGTGTTTAACTTCTCAAAAATACTTTTATAGCAAAACAAGCACACCTCTTTAAGACCAAACGTGAGAAGAAACAGAGTCCAAGAGCGGCAATTATCACAGACTGTGCCACAGTGAATTTCAGGAGTCGCCGAAGCATTTGATTGTTTGTTGAGAAAGGAGACACTGGAGCGGCTTTGTTGGTATACAAAGAAAAGTGTTTATGTAAAAATAAGACTTAAAGTGAAGGAACATTTAGCACAGAAGAAAAGTGCGTCATAGAGGCTACTAATGACAAATGTTTTCTGCTGTTTGTTCACACTAATAACACCAAATATACTCCGCCATTAATGTGACAATGATGTATTGGTGTTTGAAAATATTACAAATTCTCCCGTGGTTGTTTCTGTCCAATTTAACCTATTTGTCAGAGCACAAAGCTTTAGGCGAGGAGATGTACAGTCTTGAAACGGAGTGCTGGAATATCATTTTTAGCTTTGCTTTGGTCAATAACGTTGCATTTGTCCTGCAGCACTATTGAAAACTGCTCTGCAATCGGATCTGCTCACGTACCATGAAACACATCGCCTCGTAAATACATTTGTTTTGTGTGCTGGCGTTTGGGAGAACCTCTGCGCACAGCAAGGCTCTACTTGTAATCCGCAGAGGTGATTTCCCCATAAAAAATGCTTCCATGGGGTGATGATGACTGAATCACTGTAGGCCAAACACATCCAATCCAATTTTCCTATGTAGCCTCAAAATTGGGATTTACTCGGATTCCACCCGTAGCCTAAGGCTGATTGGAGTTTTAACTATATAATACTTGGATCTACCTGGAAATGTATTCTGTCAATGTAGCTTGGTTTATCTGAAACATGTAAGGTAGTGTGTGTGTGTGTGTGTGTGTGTGTGTGTGTGTGTGTGTGTGTGTGTGTGTATAAATAGCGTTTACGCACCTATAAATAGCGTTTACGCACCTCAAAGTTCCCTGCAAACTTGCCACCGGCGAGGCTGATGCTCAATGAGTTCATAAGGTGAGCTGTTTTTTTTCATCAATTCCCTCCTCTCTTAAAGTGGTTGTTTCAATCTTCAATGATTTTCCTTTTGGATTTCAAATTCTAGTGCGACTCCTTAAAGTCAACACGGCTTTGATTTTTATTATTTGTAAATAAATAAAAAATAAAGTACACCTCCAACCTAAAGCCTCCCGCCTGGGCCACCTCGAGGCTAGAACAGGTGTATTCAATCTTCAACGGTATTTGTTTTCCAGGTGTGCTCATCTCTCTCTCTCTCTCCATCTTTCTCTAATCTGATAGTATTTCTGAACCTGGGCCAGACAGAAACAACTGTTACCTCGAGCCACTTAGAATAACAAGCAGCTTCAGTGGGTCTGCACGGCCGAAACCATGGCTCCCGGAGCATGAAACACACTTGGCATGCAAGTTGTTGTGATTTTGACTGGCGAACATATTGGTCCCATACTGTAGGGCTACGGTATAGGATGCCAAGACGGACCCTTGGAGGATTTAAAACCTGGGCAAGCACCAAAATAAAAAAACACTCAGACTCAACTAACTTCAGCTCAAAACTCGCAGTGGTGCCGCGGAAGCTGAAATCTGAGACATTTTCCTTGCCGTTGTTGTAAAAACTATACTATCCATTTTTTCAACCCAAACAATGCTACTTGAAGAAGAATTTGCTCACCACATTGATGGGAGAGACGCTATAATCAATTACTTTCATATGATGATTTGAGGAGCAAATCATTTGTTGGATAACTTTCTCAAAAACTTTCTCCTGAAGGAACAGAGGACGATTATCATTAGGTTTCTTTTATACTAGTACCCTCATCGATACTGCTGCCTCACTTCGGTTCCTTATACTACTATAATACTCTGATATACCACGAGAGAAAAAGACAATTAATAAAAACAATCGATATTGCTTTATTATTCTTGTATGTATACAAATAGTCTTTCTTGAGCAACAATGAAACAACTTCCAAAGGATTTAAAGTACATTTACTAAAGCTTAGCGATTATCTTACATTTATCGCTACGAGACCATTCTAACGCTAATGTTACCCGCAGAGGACCAGGATGGACGGCTGCCTGCTCGCCAAACCATTTCTGGTGATAGATGTTCTGCTTGTTTCGCCCAATGATGTGGTATATTGCCGGCAATACCTCTATTACTGGTGAGGGTTTTATTGTATTTTGACAGGAAAGTTCACAGCATTTAGTCAACTTAATTGTAGCCACACTTGTTCTTTCTAATTAGGAACCATTTCCTGTTGTAGGATATTAGAAACAAATTGACGACCCGGTTCATAAAATTAATAAAAATGCATATAGTGTACACCGGAATACAGCCATGATTCTGAAACTGTGTAATCAATAAAGTAATGACAATATTGTAAAACCACTGTAATTCTGCAACTATAATAGAATAATACCAATTATGCAGTTATGATTGTATTTGATGTAATGTAATCAACTGGAATGCATGCATGTAATACTTGAACAACAACTGATGTTGACTAAGGATCATTCGAAATCCGAGTTACATTGAACTCACCAGAAGACCACTCCCAGAGGTGTGGACACTAACTTTCACACCTTTAAGCATTGTTATAAATACCTGTAGGAACCATTGTTCTCGAGTTCGCTGGTGGAGGCGACAAACGGGCACTAGGGATGGTCAAAGGACTGACCTGGGACCTGTTGGTTGCTGAGACCAGCGGCTCCTCAGCTGAGATGTTCTTTTTACCACAACGCCATGTCTTTTATTAAATACATTTGATTTAACCTTTTAATCAGCGATGACCTCTGTCCGTCCGGCGTTTCTTCATTTTTGAACACAACACTGTTTAGAACTGGGTTTTAGGTGGCATACCTATCAAGGACACAGGGAAATTTTAGATAGAGCTTCCTAATGTACTCTCTAATTCTGCATTAGATGAGACCATTAAGAGGGATGTGACTACAACTTACGAGCTAGCACTATCGCTAACGTGTATTTGGCCGTAGCGATAGTGCTAGCTCGCTTGGGCACTGTTATCTTAGCTTAGCACTGCGATAATTTGAAAAAAACTATTTGACCGCTAGCAAGATAACCAACTTTTTTATAGTGTGTGTTTAACTGTACTCAACAGCGGGCTGGGCACAGGTTTGTGATATTTATCTTAACCTACAGAGACATGACGTGCAGTAGTTCACCATCACCTCGCCTATCAAGCAAGCCAATAATGTTAGATTTACATAATTAGCAAAGAATTCATACTGTAAAGCTAATGAGTGAATGAGTTTGGCCTGTCGTGGCATTTGGCCCCCTTGTCACTTCATTTTCAGGTTTTACAGGGGGGGCGTTGTTTTGTCTCTCTCACACTAAAGAACTAGATACACTAGATGTAGAGGAATAGGGGATAGAGACAGATGACATGAGGCCACTGTCTGTTTAACTATATATGTGTTTTCATTTTGTACAGTGGTTGTGCTTCTGTATAAATTGATTTTGTTTCCAACAGAGGGACTGGTTCAAAGGCAGAGAATATGCAAGAAACGGCACAGGCAGTTAAAAACACATCATCAAAACGACTGTCGGGCCTCTGAACATGCAACTAGAAATATTATACACCATATTATACCATTGGCAGAGAAAGGGAAAAGAAGTGGAAAGTCTACGGACTTGTGGAAGGAGAAAGAAATACACAAAGTTTATATATATATATAATATATATATATATATATATATATATATATATATATATATATATATATATATATATATCTACACAAGTCCTATGTCTTCAAGGGAGCTATATCCCAAACAACAGAAGCAGCAGTGGAGATAGTAGCATGAGAAGCTGAGGGTTGCCTGCCAGGTGATCTGCACCCCCTCTTAGAGACTCCTGGTTGATTGCTTCCTGGTTGGACGAGCCGCGGGGGGGGGGCGAGGCCCCCAGGTGCTTGTCCCGGTTGGAGCACATGTCGTACAGGTTTCCGGAGAACTGCATCTTCTTGGATTCCTGTCGGAGGGATTCCCAGACTGCCGCAGCTTCGTCCGGACAGCCGGCCATTGCTGCATTGGCGCAGTCATGGAACGCATCCCACGACCTGAAGACAAGAAGGAGGAGTCAGATGCAACTTGGGACACGTGAAAACAAAAGGAAGCCATCATGGAAACCTATAAAAGAAATGAGCAAAAAAGGTTATGGGAAGTCAAAACAGCAACAGAGTTTCCACATAGTTGTCAGCAAAAATATTTGGAAGCTTAAATTAGCGGGTCGAAGTTCTTGTGTTTATGCAAATGTTTATAGTCGATGGTGGTAGCCTGCCTCAAAACATTAAATACACCAATGGTAATACATGGTACCTTTACTAATGGCACGCCAGCAGTAAGTGCACATGAAAGGTGTTTGGGAAATGTTGAAGTAAGTTACCCAGACACCCCCTTACACTGCCTCTGATTGAATCAGAATCAGAAGCCTTTTATTGCTAGATATGTTACACACAGAGGAATTTATCTTGATGATTGGTGCAATATAAGAATAAAATAAGAATAAAATAAGATTAAATGTCCATATGTTACTACATGGGGCTCGGACTTGCTTCATGAGAGAAGCTGATGAGGGAGAGAAACTGTGTTTGCGGAGAAGATATTATCTTTCAGTCCCCAATACACATATTCAGCTACACACAGGAGCTCTCTCAAGCTGGGCACCGGTTCGTTCACAGCACCTTCCATGAAAATAGGACAGCACAGGCACGATCCAATTCGATCGCATTTATGCTCAAGTCTAAGGAGCGCGAAGCTCGAAAAAAGACCCCTGCCCTAGAGGATAAATCTTTCTGACTGATGATCCCCTGACTTTCTATCCAGTGTCCTTGTTGATCCACTGGTTTTGAGTGAAATGTCACCATGACTTTGGTATAGACATTCATGTCAGCCTCAGGATGAACTGTAATGACTTTGGTGATGATCTATTGCCATCTCAGGATAAAACAAACATAGACCCAGTGTCCTAGTATGATCCAAACTATTACTAGTATGGTTGGAAACTCTGGCTCAAGCCCAATTGCTAATAACAACCAAATAACAAGAAAAAACGTGGCATTCCTCATACAAGGTTGGTGCATACTTCAATTGAGGGACGTGCCAAGGTTTTTTTTTCCTGAATTTTCAACTCCCCATGCATGTGTGCTATAAATACAATAACACTTCCCACATAAGCATGAAACACCCTGGCCAATAACATGCCAAACACATATGATTATCCTATCTGGTGAATGCTCCCGTTGTTTCACTAATAATTATCTAAACCAGCGATTCCCAAAGTGTGGGCCGCGAAGGTACTGCAGGTGGGCCGCGAGAGGTCATTTACAATAAATTAAAAAAAAGTTTTTAATTTTCAATTTTGAAAAGTTTGAAATTAATATAAAAATATGTATGATGCGGCACATTAGTTATGTGAAACATTAATTGATGAAGCACAAACGAACAGATTGGTTAATCGGTTGATCCATACTGGTTGTACACAGCGCTCAAGGCGCGCTGCCAAACATGACAAAGCTCGGTCTACGACGGCGAGATGCTGAGCGGCGCTCAAGCGCGTGAGATATGGAGCTTGTTTCAGGGCGCGTCGGAGAAACAAAGCTGTCGTTCTTGCCGAGCACATGAGATTAAAGAGCGAGAGACGGTGCCCTTTTCTTTACAGTAGCTGAACCAGCTTAACGGGAAAAATAAGTTATTCAAAAGGGGCTCTTGGCAGGCGGCGTGGCTGGAGAGCAGACGAAGATTTAAGGCGTGGATGGCGAGGGGAGCGGCGGGAGCGGACGCACCTCGCAGCATCGATCGGACCCTGAAAGCACCGTCTCCACCTCGAGACTTTTGCTGGCGGATGTTTGATTTACGCGGGCGCATCAACCTGATTTGCGCTCTCGAATTTTGACAGTGATTTGCGCTGATAAGACTGCAGTATCTTATGCGCCTTATTGTGCGGAAAACACGGCACATGAGCTCCGGAGAGAATGGTATAGAAAACATACATTGTCAGATAATACATTTTCAATCGGTTAAATTTTTAAGGTCATTTAATCATCCCTAGTTTATGTTTTGATCAGAGTTGTGATTAAAGGTTTGGGTGGGCCGCAAAAGATATTCAGATTTCAAAGTGGGCCGCGGCATTCTTGAGTTTGGGAACGGCTGCTCTAAACTATGAAAATAACAGAAGATGCGACAACAAAGAAAAACAAGTCCGTTTACTGGGTAAATCTAATTCAATCTTCAAGTCCTTTGAGTTCTCTCTGCAATTGCCATGACACCATCTGCTGATCTTCACTACTGCGAGAGCGAGGGTTGCAGTTCAAGTTAAAACGGAGGGAGGAGGGCCGTCATTAGGGAATGGAAAAGCTGTCAAGCTGTCATGTACTGGGTATTTGTTGAACTACTGCTGTTTTATATCAATTCATTTGAAACACTCCTTGACTTGAAGTGTAATAAGTGGGGGAAACAGTAAAATAAAAGAAGCAGAGGAAAAAATGATGAAAGAGGAAGTAATCTTACACAGTTCTTACACAGAATCAAAGCATAAACCAACTCTACACACAGATCTCCGCCTGTCAAACTGACATCTCTCAGTGGATGTCCGCTCACCATTTGAAAATCAACCCTGACAAGACTGAACTACTTCTCTTTCCGGGAAAATATTCTCCTACACAGGACTTGACGGTTAACTTTGGCAACTCTGTGATTATGCCCACTTTGACCGCCAGGAACCTTGGCGTGACACTCGACAGCCAACTCTCCCTGACTCCCAACATCACTGCGACAACACGATCCTGTAGATACACGCTCTACAACATCAGGAGAATACGTCCTCTTCTCACTCAGAAGGCAGCGCAGGTACTGATTGAGGCTCTTGTCATCTTCCGCCTGGACTACTGCAACTCGCTCCTGCAGATCTTACATCCAGGACATGGTGAAACTCGACATCCCGACTCGCACACGCTCTGCATCTACAAAACTGCTTGTCCCTCCCTCACTGAGAGCAAAACACTCGACTAGATCACGACTCTTTGCTCTCGTGGCTCCTAAATGGTGGAACAAGCTCTCTGAAGACACCAGGACTGCAGAGAGCCTTCACATCTTCCGCCACAAACTAAAGACACACCTCTTCAGACTCTACCTTGAATAAAAGACTTAAATTGTAGCACTTAAATTGTACTCTATAGCCAATTGTAAATTGGCTTAAATTGCTGAATTTGCACTTTCTTGTTTCTTGTTCTTCTGAGTTTGTACCCTATGGTTGAATGCACTTATTGTAAGGCGCTTTGGATAAAAGCCATAAATGACATGTAATGTAATAACATTTAATTCCAGTAACCTTCAATTTTCACACCTGGAGCTGAGTATATCTGAATTGGCTGCTAATTCTTCCACTCATCACGAATGTGTTGAGTTTTCTCTGAGGAAATATGGAGTGTTAAGTAAAAGAGAAAAGGAGGGCCCTCAAACAAAGCAGAAGCAGATGGTTCTGTTCAAAATGAGCCCGACACAAAACACCTGAAGCATCTTACATGAAAGCCATTAAAGTCCATATGATTGATACACACATGCCTCTTTTGAAACAGACGCGCGCTGCGTATGTCCTCCAGATGCCAGATTCCAACACGCTTGCGCTCCACACTTGTCAAATAGCGATGCTTGGTCGGTGGCCCTGCGCTTCCAACTATGCCGCTCGCTCGGTTAGTTTCCACTTATTACTCAATGGTGTCTTTTGAAAATAAAGTTCTGTGTTATATCAATACAGCGTCAATACAAACCTCTGTGTCGAAAAGAAACATAGTTTTCGCATATATATTACAATTTAGGTACGCTTCAGTTCACACAGGACAAGAAAAGAACGGCTAAAAGTTTGATTGACCCCACCTGACCGCCCACCCTAAGCAGACTTTCTCGCTCTTCATACAGCGCCAGCTGCTTTGCCCGTCTAATTGTCCAAAGGCTACTGACCAAGTGTCAGTATTTGAGGAATGGGGACAAAGAAGGGCTTGACAGTACATGATCTATGCGCAGATAAGGGGACAGCCATCACATCGTTCTGAAAAGTTGCTTCATGTGTTCACGATTAAGCCCCATGGACTGGTCACGTGGCTAAAGAGTTCTTCTCTACAGTTTAGTCTGTACAGGCAAGACAAGTACTGATGACAGCTGCCTGTGTCACATATGGCGCGCGCACACAATGTCAAAAGGATGGAAAAACAACAACTAAAAGGTCCACCTCAATTGCAGCTAATCGCATTCTTGATCTCTCTCAACGGATATCGAACTTCTCATCCGAGTTCAAGGTTAATGGCAGGTAAGCATGTGATCCATACACACACCAAAAGGTAAGAGACACACAAGAGAAGATCGGCAGTCTTCGAATGGAGCCGTTGATCAGTTTTGATTCATCACTGTAGCTGGGGAGGGATTGATCACAATTTAATTCAGACAAATAGGATTAATCACGGTGGGATTGTTGCAGTCCTGTGTTGTCTCGCCCCGAAGGCTTCATTGCCAATCTTGCAAAGTGTAGCTGTGATTAACACCTAAGCGGAACTCCTGATCCAACACTTACAGCTCCAAATGTCTTTTAAATAAGTAAGAAGCTAAAATGTCTTTGCACTGTGCATTTTGAGGGCATTTTCTCGTTATTTTCAGGTCAGAAATGCAAGCATACACACACATGTTATCACATACTGTTTTTTCTAGACCCACTTATTCAATGGAAACTTGGTTGTGTCGCCGCAGCGAGGGATACTTGAATATTCGCATGCAGCTTCATAAAATGATCAAGCGCCACTACGGGCCGGGCCTCCCTTGATGACTCTGCGTGTATGTGTGTGTGTATTTGGCCTGTGTCAAGGGTGTTACCTTACTTAACACCTCTGGTCCACCCACCGACTACTGGAGAGGACTCTGCTTAACTGCTGCAGTGGGAGGAGCAGCTGATGGAGAGAAAGTGGCATCTGGCGCCTGAGTGTGTGTGTGTGTGTGTGTGTGTGTAGGAAGATAGTGTAAGAAAGAAAAAAATGGATGTTGTCGTGTGCAGCGGTGCAGGGCTTCTCCTCTGTGTGTGTGTGTCTCTGCTCAAGTCACAGGTGGTGCAGAGACAGCAAAAACACAGCAAGGACACTGACAGACAGCCAGCTGCTTTCACAATAAAAAAAGCTCTTGAGGGTACGTCTGCTCGGCTGCTAACATGCTGCTGCTGACACCCGAAAAACCTCCAAACCTCAGTTCCGAACGTTCTACTGTTCTGTCTTTCAAATTATTGACATTCAAACATATTGCTAAGTGAAGTTGTGTCCGGAAATTGAAGAAGGCAATGGAGCGCAAGTAGGTAGAGCAGAAACAATGATTGATTATTAGATTTCATTTTGTAATCTCGACAAGTTTGTATGCATTTATATCTTGTTAGACAATCTTTAATAGTTATTTCGTAACCTTGTCTGAACCCAGACATATTTAATAGAATCACGCTAAGCGTCATCTGTGCACAACTAACCTGTTAATGCTCGTGTTTGATCTGCAGGCAGATATATTAGAGATGACAGTCAGCAGCCTCCCGCGCAGCCTAATATTAGCTCTCCATCAGTACTAACTGTCTCCAGCCTCGTTTAGCCATTTACCACACTGACAGTGGATATTAAAGTATCGTATACCTCACATCTCAGTTTGAAAGCCTCCGCTACACACACACACACACACGTTTGGGGTATTTTCCCGTTTCTATCCCCCAAAAGGCACTTCGGCTTCCGCGATAAAAAGACACTGTTCTGGTGAGCAGTTTGGAACCACAATAGCGTTTCATCGGGATATTTTTAAAGAGACGGGGAGAGAAATAAATGAGGTTTCTGTCTACACTGGATTGTTTTCCCACCAAGAGGGGCCAAGGGATGGGAGCTTGTTCTCTGGGTGATGCACTACTGATTTGATGCATAAAAAACCCAAATCAACAGTGCGGCAGATTGCACAAATTTTAAAGCAACAAAGAAATGAAAGGAATTCAGTTATTCTTGATGAATATTTTGACATGCTTTCATATGAAAATCCTCACGCTTCATCTGCAATGGCCTTAGTCGGGGTTACCGTGTTGACGTGCTTCACCTTTTTCAGAAATAAATATCTATTTTGTACCAAATCAAGACTTGATCTATATTTTGCAGCTGCAGGTTCAAGCAGTAAGTGACTAAATCGGTTTAACAACTTACAGTATACAGCAGCAGCTGTTCCAGATCTATAGTCTTATGTGTGACAGGTTTTTTTGTAGAAATAAAAAAGGAAGAATTGAAAATGCTTAATATCATTTTAAATCCATATGATATCCAAAAAGAAATGCGATCTGAAACTGCGCTGACTGAGACCCTGAAGTGAGGCAGGAATACAAAAAGAGACGTTGAAATGAGGTGCAAGGAATGCATGAATGGCCTTATCTAAATCTGTAAAGGATACAAAAAAGAAAATAAAGAGGCCGAGTGAAAGAAAAGTTTTCTGGTAAAATCTGTCTTTTTTATATCTTTTTCATAAGCTAAGCTTTTGGATGGGTTAGGGACTCATGGAGGCAGGCCTTCAATCATGTCATTATAGTTCATATATTTATTACTAGAGAGTTTCTCAAATTGTTGTGGCTCTATTAGCAGAAATAGAATGTAATATTCTTTACACTTTCATTTTTTCATGACTGTATAATCCCCTGAAAAAGCCTCGGAGCGCGGCGCCCTTGAAGCAGTATTACTATGGTTGTGATGGCGGACGGCGTAACCGCTGCTCTGCTCAGCGGCTCATGGTGAGTTCAGCTGCTAGGAAAAAGAGGAGACCACATCGTTAGACACCACTGCACACTGTCCCTTTGAATATTTTGTTTTACCAGTCAGTTTCAATCCCCCAAATGGTATCCCAATTAGCGGTTCAATTTTTTTTTACACTGTCAGAAATACCGTTGTGGGGGGGGAAAGGAAAAAACCTTTCTGTATTTATTATTGATTTAAAGGCATATTAAGTCAGGCATCCATTCATAACATGGGCTCCCTGCGATGTGGTCGCTTTTAGTTCTATTGTAGTGGGTTCACACCCTGGCAAAGCAAGCCTTCTTAGTATTATATACGAAAACATATTAGAGGCTTAAAGTCATTCAAAGAAATCATTCATAGGGATTTTAACATGAATAAACATATTACTGATAACCCCTTCAGAGATTTACTTAATAAAGAGGTACCTATTTTTCATCCGAACCTTCCCTACTCCTTTCAGAGCTGCAGCAAAAGGTTACTGTTTAATCCTGTTGTGTCTAGAAACTCTCTATCTTTAGCCCCAAATATTTCCTTTTCACCTTAACCTCCTCCGGATCCACAGTGAATGATTGTAGCTACATAAAGCCGATCGTGAATACGAGGAATAAAAGCAGCGGCACACTCCTGGGAGTCCTCTGACAATGGAGCAGCCTTGGCCTAGATGCAAATCATAGCCTCTTATTCAGACTACACTGAAGCATGCCTGTGTGTGTGTGTGTGTGTGTGTGTGTGTGTGTGTGTGTGTGTGTGTGTGTGTGTGGTGGCCAATCTTCAGAGGAGAGCGTCACGCTACCTCCTCATTAGGTGGCTCTGATTAAAGCTAAAGCGCTAATACCATGTTTGCGGGTGGAAGGACGGAGGAAGGTAAAAAGGCGAACAGGCCAAGAAGACAAGAGAGACGGATGGAAGGAGATAGCGAACAAAGAGGAGGGAAGAGAGATGAGAGAATAGAGGGATGCGAGAGAGAAGAAAATACGAGAATGACAAAGTGAGCAGAGGACACAGAGAGTGTAGATTGGGGAGAGGAGTGTGTGCGCACATGTGGATTGGGTGTGAGGGCTCTTCTGTCCCTGCATTAGGCAACACTCACACTAAGGTGGTTGGGTTGCAAGATTAGTAGTTTAATTGGTACCTCAAGGAATAGAGGAGATCCAACAACAGTGGAGTGGTACCGTGGGTGGGCTGCAGGGCCATGGTGACACACATACACAGACACACACACACACACACACACACACACACACACACACACACACACACACTTACACAAGATGATATTCTACTTGTAAGGATATTCTCTCAAACCATTCCCCACTTCCTCTCCCCTCATTTAGGGTTGTGACGCAGTATGCAGAAGATATAACGGTTTCATCATATGCTGTGTTTTAATTTTTATTATTATTATTGTTACAATTAGATACAGGGAAATTAATAAGAATATAATTATAAAAATAAACTCAATAATGAACCTGGAAAAAGAAATAGCGGTTCACTATTACATGCTATTTGACTGAGGCGGGTTAGTTTACGTGTTGGTTAAATTAACTAATGAATGAAAAATGACTCCACTTGTGAGCTTTTAAAGCAGCTACGGGCGACTCAGGCGTCGAAGCACCATGAAACAAACTAAAACGACAAGCGTGAATCGGGACTGACGTTTGAAGCTGGCTTGCTTTTACCGTATAAGCGGAATTTTAGCTCAACACCTCGATGAGACTTACAGAGGGCTAAACGTTGAAGGCGCGGGCGTCACGAATTGCCGCACTGGGCAGCTCTGGAGATCTTGGATGCGCTTTGTTTGCTGAACAGAGCGCTGACGTGCTCCAGTCAATAGAGCACTCCGGGTGTTCACAGCCCGGCTCTCAAATGTCACCGCTGTCATGGGAAGCTCTTGCCACCCCGTCTAAAACCCAGACGCTCTTTACACTTTTGAGAAATGGGAGAATATGAGAAGTAGCATCATTTCATCGCGGGCATCGTTTATCTTCCCTCACACTGAAATGGCAGAGGTTAAAGTCACGCACAACGTTGCCGTTTGTAACATTTTTGTCAACTAAATGTCGTACTTTTGTATGAAATGATGATGTACCGAACATGATAAACGCTTGATTCCTCCTTCAACTTCAACTGAAAGCTGGCAGAGTTGTGGCAATCTAGCAGTCGAGCTGCATAACTCACAGTAATCACTGTTTGTGTAAGTGAAAGACGTAATATCCCTTTCATATAATCCCAGTCTGTGAGATCATTTATCATTTCATCAGAGTTCATCATGATCTTGTAAGATGTTCTGGTGACGGCCACGTTGTCTGGGGAATGCTTAACGGCAAACGGAAATTTAGTTTGCAGCAATGGAGGGAGGAATGAGAGAAATATCTCAACAGTCTTGATGTCAGATTGGCGCACCAGAATGTTCAACATCATGATGCCACGGAACCTAGAACACGACAAACCTCCCGTAAACTGTATATATATGAAACATTAGTGTCCGCTGTGGCGAGTTCTCCATCTTTTAACTCGACATGACTGGAGGCGGTTTAACGGAAAGCCTTTGTTACAAATGGTACCCGTGGATTTGAAACACCAGATGTCTGGAAGACCTTCTTCACACCACAGTCCCTTTGGAAAACCCTTCTCATTTTTTTTTTCTCGCAGCCCTGGTTCTAGTTCTCCCCCTTAATCCCATAACTGCATGGGAACAGGTCATGGGTGAGTTCAGTGAGGGATTAGAAAGACAAGGCTTCGATATGTGGGATTTTCCAGATGTGTGTGACCTGTCGATATCAGATAGAACACTGACTTTGAAGAAATGCAAAATGCTTGTGTCAACCTTTCTGTCCAAAAGCCTTGCAGAACAACTTCTCCAGCTCAGAAAAGGTGTACTGGCAGCGAGCTGCCTTCGTCGTATTCTAGAATCCTATAATATCACTAAATAGACGCTGGATGGTCAGGATCGGGGTTTAAAAATGCATATTCAGATACTAAACTAAACAATTAAAACCCTGAACCAATTTCTTTTTCAGCAGAAACCACACATATGATTATTTAAAAGTGCAGCTAATGGGTCTTCACACAGTGTTGCAAATCAGTTGAATTGTACATATAGTGAAACTGCAGCTGGGCTGATCTGGAGCCAGGTGACATTTATGAAGACAGCCCCCCCCCCCATCTCCCCGGCTTGTGTATTTTTTCCCATTCAAAAGGGAATTTATATTTTCTTATTTCAAATGTTTAAAAAAAGTTTTTCCCTTTAACCTCCCGCTGTTTGTGATCACACCGACCTGCAGATGGAGTGTATCTCGTGCGTGTCCTCGTCCTTGCGGGCGTTGCCGGCGAGACTGTCTCCCAGGGCTATCAGACACTGAGCGAAACCTTTGTAGATGGAGTGACACCTTCTGGCCGACGCCGCGGCGACCGGGCTGAGCACTGGACAACGCACACAGACACACAGAAAGATTAATCCCAGTGGAAATCAATATGATCTGAAATCCACCATTTGACAATAAATGTATTTCTGTTGGCCTTTGTGAAAAGAGGAGAAACTGCCCAGTGAGCGACGCGGCTTTCTCTGCAGGCTTTAGTTTCGGCGATGGAGTGAGAGGTTGAGTGTTATCCGTCGACAACGAGGAGACGCAGACAGCTGTGGGTTCGCCTCCCCCCCCACCTCGTGCTCATTCGGCGTTTCAAGCCCACTATCGATCGACGGCTCCCGTCAATGACGAGAGCCGTCAAGGCTCGTTGACCAGGAAGTGGAGATGCAGCAGAAGAGAAGTGCATTTGTTCATCCTCAGTGATCCGATTCCGTTGGGAGCAACAACACGCTCACTCACGTTTGAATGCAGCCAGGACCTTCCACCATCTTGACACGGATTACGCTTACTGACAACCTTGATTACTCAACAACCCACACTGCCTCCACCAAAATACGCTAGATTTTGCGTAGAGGTATCAGATGATAGCTCGGTCTAAAATCTATGAGATGAAGTGAAAATATTTTGAGCGCATCAATATATTGATTTTTGGTAAAAGAATATTTTTGTAGCTTTGACTTAAAAATAGAGATACAGTGTCTCTGCACTTAAAAAAATGAACTGAGCAGAAGCAACAACAGGTGTCCACCTGCTCAGGTCCACAGCATGGATCGTCAGAGAGAGAAGCAACAAGGAGATGATGTAGTAGGTCTGGTTACAGTACTGACTAGGTTCAAATATTAGGGTAGGAACCCAAAGACAGTGCTTCATATCGGAAATGCATTTAAGGTTCATCCAGCTTGTCTGTTTTTTATATTTGTTTCTTCACAATGTTAATATGATAGTTTCTGAATCGAGTTCATCGTGACAGAGCATTTGTAAAAAGTAACTAATTTCCCAAACACTGTATCCACACAGAAATCATGTTGCAGAGGGATAAAACCAAAAGAAGAGTCCTTTAAGAGGCGCATTCAGGAGACGCACAAACACACACACCCGGGAACCCGGCCTCACAAGTCATTAACTATGTATATATTTACAGCATCTCACCAGCCCCGAGCTGTTTGTTGAATCAGACTTGAAGGAGGAGTCTCATCCAGAGAGATGCGTATTTGATCGATGTATTTTAATATAATTATCAGCCATCATTCAATCGTTTTGCTGTTGTACCATAATTTATAGGGGATTGAAAAAGACTGGGAAGTAAGCTTCATAGTACACATTGAGACCAGGGGCCCTTCTGCGACCGGGGCACCACTGTTTGATTAGACTGATCCTTTCATGTCTTTTAAGCTGCAGCAGCAAATGAATGTGAATCAGACTGAGAAGACTTTGAGTAGCAGATAAGTGTCATGAAAACAGAAGATGCAATTATTACTTCAAAGGCTTTTCAAGTTTGTGATCTTTTTTTTCTAACTTCCTAGTTCCGGACCGTTCAATCACCAAACACAACTCAAGACTTCTTATTGATTTGATATACTGTAGGTCTGACCTCACATTATGCCCTATCTGTGATTATGTCTGGGCAACAAAACCTCTTGGTTAAGATAAGGGAAAGGTCATCATTTTATTAAGGACTCTCATGCCATGAATTGCAAACTAATCTATACCAAATTACAATCCTTAATACTGAAGGTTATTATCAAAATAAACCCCGTGTTCAATGCATTTCCTCAGCAAAAAACAACGACAATGTATCTTCATTCAGCAATTACCTCTTTGTACTAGTGGCGGGGTCCACCACCCTTGGCGACGTAGGCATGGGGGATTTGCGGGAAATGATTCTTCCTCGCAATCCCGCCATTGATATTAGCCTCATTGGGAACGGCTTCATACATCCTTCCCCCTGTTCCGTGTACGAACATGAGTGCCCCCCCCCCCCGTTGCTGATTGGCTGGAAAACAGTTGTGTGGATCAGTGCAAGCTACCTTATTTGTTCTGTATGAACATTGGATTACTTATTAGCGTAATACGTAGGAGGTGATGCTTGCTGAATTTGACAGTGGGTGTATTGGATTAGACTGCCGCACAAGAAAACCAACGTGTCCTTATACAAAAGGTTCAAATAATGTGAATCTCTCTAATGAAGTCTAGCAACTCCGGTTAATTAAACTCATTACATGCATATAGCCTTTTCAAAATGATCTGCTGTCGTCACAGGAAACTATTTAGTTAGCTTACATTAACAGGGTTAATGTTAAAATGTGACGAATATTCAGGTATTTTGACTTCTCATTTCGCATGTGAAAGGCAGAGAGGTCTCCTCTGGAAAAGAGCGGAGTTTTTGTGGTTATCAATTACATTAAATGGGATTTGATTTTTTTCATGTATGACTGTGATCAAATATATATGCGTATATGTATGTATGAGAAAAATTGATATGCTACCGAGGTTAGACCAAATACACACACACAAATCTACACTGGGTCATGCTAACCACAGCCAAAACAACCATGATGGAAATCTCGAAGAGACAATCCTTTGAAACGTTACAAAACCGCAATGAAAGGTCTTATATATGCTGTATATGAGTGGAGACTCTAGGAGAAAAATGTTAAGTTACTACTGATATGTTCAATATGTAAAAACGCGGTAAACCTGTAGGACATCACGTTTGGTAGCTTGTATTTCAAAGCTCTACATTAAGAGAATTTTGCCAGCACAGATTCCACGTTGACTGAAAAGGACCAATACATCACTTTGTGCTGATTGACTGGACTGAATTGCCCCAAAAAGAAGTCGGCAAACGAGCTGAAAGTCGGACTGAATGATGCAGTGTCATCGGGCCAGATGTAGGCGTGTCAGCAGTGATTACGTCCCCGATAAGCTGGGAGACGAGAGGAGTTGCTTCGGATGCAGACGAGACAGGTGATCAAGACAAGAACCAACGGCCCGGCTCAGGCACGTCTACAAAAAATGTTAATTGACTGTCTGAAACAGAAAAATGTAAATGTTAAACAAATTGATTGACACAGACCTTTGTGAAATATGTTTGTTTTAAAGGTGATGCATGCTTCGCCCCCCTTTGCGTGTCCTCAGCTTCATCCTTTTCTTTGCTGACTCCAAAGGATGGATGGAGAAAATGGAGACAAAAGGTGTCGTGAAAGGTTTTTGGCAGCTTCTTTCTTTTGCCATCTGTTGCTTGGATTCAGTCTTTCTTGTGTTTTAATTAATCCGTTTCATCATTCATCTCGAAGCTCCATGTCCCATGAAGGGCAGCGCGCGCCGCTGAGCAGTTCCCGCGTACACACCAGAGAAGGGTGATGCACGACCAACTCACTCGCAGTGACAACAGAAGCTGATCAAAACCGCGATCCTGAATTTAGATGCAGATCCGTCACTATGACACTAAAAAACGCTTAATCCAAGTTGATTTCTTTCATTTCTTATCTTTGCTATTCACCAAATCTCTGATGAGCGAAATCGTTCAATATTTGCACTTGTCATGAACATGAGCACATATACAATATTTTTGGTTGTGTAAAACTCATATTCAGATGCTTTAGTTGAGTAAAAGAACCAGATTCAGAAGATCCTATGTTTACGGTATCAGAAGAATTCTCCCCATCGTTTGAGATTGTATCACATATTAAAGCTTTAGATTGTAAAGTTTGTCAATACTAATTCAGCATTGGTGTCAGCAGTGTTTTTTTGTTGTAGCTACTTAAAAAAAAACAGGCAGGTCTCCACAGTGTGAGATAGCTAATGGAAAGTCAAAAGTGAAACTTTTTTGGAGAAATTAATCATCTTTACATATGGACATTTACTTTTGATACATACCATGTTTTATACAAAATGAGTACATACATTCTTGATTTATGGCCAGAAATGTGTATTCTATGGTCACAGTGACCGTTTACCCCCAAAATATTGCCGGTTCCTTGAAATTAGTATGACGTCTGTGCAAATTAATACCAAATTCCCTTCAGGCCCTTCTAATCTGTTCTTGTATCGGTCAAGAGAACGGAATTGGACGGACAGACAATCTGATAAAATAATGCCTCCAGACCCTGTTATTGTCAGACATAAAAACGCTGATTTTGGATCTCTTCCTTTGCCATGTCCTAAAAAGATCCTCATAGTAAAGCGTTGTGGCTCCAAGCTGTAGACCAGACCAGCATGTCATCGCAAAGGCTGAGCAGCCTTCTATGGGAAAGGACCTCGCCCGGTGCTTGAGGATAAGAACAGGATATGCCATATGTTATCTTCATTGACAGTAAATGGCCAAATGCTACTGCTAACCGATACTACTGATGGATAGCCAGCGGTAGCTTGAGTGCAACTGCAGTCCAGTCGTGCAGTACAGCAGCGTTAGAATGCCTTTGAATGTATAGGAATATCTTTTAATATTTGCTGTTTTGTAAAGTATTTAAAGAGTTTGCCTCCTTGAGCCTCAAACTTTAAATATTGAAATGAAACGGATTTAGAAAGGACATTCCTCGGGGCGGCCGCTAACAACTAAAAAGAGTGTAAAATGTGACAAAGAGCCCCAATTAGACAATTAGAGAAGCCACAACACCAAAACTAGTCTGACATTGTACTATTTAACAACAGCATTTGAGTAAATATATGTTGCTACGTTCCAGCACTAATTATGCCCACCTGAATCAATTGATTGACATAATGGTCAGTGCATTGCCCTTCATTAAATGCTAATGATTTAAACCCATGCAAAAGATGCAATAAACACAAGACACAGAACTCATATGATGGAGGTTTATCAAATCACGTTTTCATTCATTCCTTTATTTAAACTATGGCCACATTTCCACTCTATTTGACTGTAAATTGACCATAATAACAAACTCTTTACTGGTTTTATAAACAAAATTAAAAGTAGGGTGATTCCCTCAGATTTCCATTCAATTGGATTTCTTTTTGCAACTGGAGAAGTCGTTCCGTACTATTCAGTAAAGATAAAACCCTTTTCACACTTCCAGATTGGCTTTAAACTCA